ATGTTAAAAATGTAAAATATGTCTTAAGTACCATAGGTAAATTGTGTAAATAATTATAGCATTAGGGCATTGGAAAATATACTTATTGTATATTAACATAGAATGAGGTAAACGTGAGCAAATATTGCAGAAGCCGAGACTACACAGTACACATAGGCCTAATACCCCTATAGATTTATCACCCTTATATGTTCAACTTATTATAAATCAATTGTGAGCTGTTTTTTTTCTGACATCGTCTTGTTTTTAATGTTTTAATATCCACTATTTAATCGTTGTATTTTACAAACCTAAAAATGTTAGACCAAAACAAATTATTGTTTGTTCTATGGCATGATAACCAATGAGTACAGGTCACAACGTAAAATTTATACTAAAAGAATATAAAGTCATCAATCTTAAAATAGGCTTATAACTTTACATTATAAGAAACAGATATAGGAAAGCTTGAAGCCAAACAGGTTCAAAGTCAAAAGTAAAATTCAACCAATACGACAATGCGTTACTAAAAAAACTAAAAAAGATTAATTTAGTAGTTGGTAGCTCGTTATTGCTGGTAAATCTCTTAAAGGAAAATATTAGTTCACAGTTCATTTAACAATCTATATTTTAGATATATCGAGTAGCCAATATATCAAACCTTTACATATAAACTTAACAAATATCAAACCGCAATCAAATGAAAACCTCACGGCGAAACAAAAAGTTTCCAACAGATGGAGACAAATCACACCCGGTCAACTGCCGACCCCTCGCAATATGACCATCTTTTTCGAATAACCCGCGCGCCTAGGGATGGGCTTATCCCGTCAAAACACGATACAATCCCTCGTATCTTGACAGATCTGCCTCGTCATAGACGTCCAAGGGGGCGTAATCCCGACGACCCACGACCATGACTGGTGGGCGATCATAGAGTCATTAGGGAAACTTGGAAGCGAGGTATCGGTAACTCATAGGAGTCGTGTTGATGGATATTACACAGTTGGCCCACTATATTTGTGTATCGTAGAGAACATAATAATTATTGAGCAATGTTTGTAAAATAAAGTTGCCATGGTTACATGACTCTTTCTTCAACTGGATTTTATGTTTCCATGGATACTATACATTTGTAATCTTAGAACATTGTTACTGTCATACAACTTATAAACAAAACAGAATCATTCTATTCAATTTTGTCAAATTAAAAATTGAACTAATTTTAGCCTTTTAAATAATTGTTTTCTGACTTAAAGTGAACTATTCAGAAACTTCTAAAGAGTTACGACAATAGTGGTTTTAAGTCACTATTGATAGTAGTATTTGAGGAAGAATTCAGTTTTGTATAAAATCGTTGACTATTTATGGAGATAGACATCCTATTCCCGTAAGCTGCAGCCTGTTGTCGATTTGAGCCATCGACACAGCACAATGATGTCAATTAATGGATTCCGTAAAATACGCTAAAATTCTATTCAAACTTAACTGAATCCTTATTGCAAACTATAGCATCTTTTGAGTCATAGTAACAATAAAAGTATCAACATTTTGGAGAACTTTTTTCAGGATATGAACATTTTTGTGCACTCAATGAGTGGCTCACAACCGATGTTTTTATTGAAATAAAAAATGGCTACAGCTGGTCCTTATGGATATCTACTCCGATTCCCAAAAGGCAAACTGTTCCTACAGATTGGTACTACATACAAAAAATACTTCTCTCGACTATCTTTTCCAACGATTCCACATTTCATTACAACAATCAATAAAACTATCGAATTGCGATATCATATTGCACAACGCCGTGGGTGGAAGAGTCAGAGGCAAATGTCAAAAAGGGAGGAGTGGGAAGTGAAAGCGGAGGAAATGGGAGGACGGAGACATCGTGACCGGACCATCCCCCGGGCCCAGGAGGGGGCGAAGACCCGAGGACGGGGATAAGTCACCCGAGAGGTCGTGGTCAGAACGTAGGTCGAAGTCGTAGGAGGGCCGGAGACAATGGCTAATGTGTAAATGGTCCACAGCTGGAGTTTGCCATCCTAATTTATAAAGTGTTTTAATTTATATGTGTGAAATAAACTGCATGTCAGCATAATCCTTATAAATTTCCTAATCATCCGTCTGACTCGAATCGTAAGGCAGTGGTAAAGTGTATGTCTTGTTCTCGATCTTTCATACTCTTTCTTTGAGTTCTACCCCCGGGCTTTCTATGTTTCCATGATAATCCTATGGGAATTATTTAATTGATTAGTTTCCGTGAAATCAAGAAAGTAACATTGTTTATATTAACAATGTTCATCAGCTTTTTACCACACACTCGATGTTTGACGCAAATCAGATATTTGTAAAACTATGTCGATTTGTTCACACGACAAGGATTTGATTGTTTTATAGTGACGCGATATATTATATTAGCAGATATTTAATCTCTATTATAATTTGGTACAGTAATACTATTTTTGGAAGCATTTTTGACGAACGGCAATTTTTTATAATTTTTGGCTCACACTCCTTTGTGAAGCACGGATAACGAATGGGTATATGTTCAATATTATAAATTGTATACTTGATACTTTAAGAACGTTATTGTAATTGGGATAGTATTAAGTAAAAAGCTGTGATATTAAACTTAGATTGTACCTACATAGACCTACTATATAGGATGCTGAAATACATGACTACGTTCAAAACACGCGTGAATAAGAATAATATTTTTTATTAATGGATTTACCTAACACATATTCTAAATAAAATAAACTAAATTTTATGCTTACAAACTTGATACAAATTGGATCTTTCCTTATATCTTGACCCACTAATATTGTTGTACATGCATTTGTTAAGCTTAATATAAGTAAGGTCATAGTTTCGTGTCATAAACAAAATGAAGCTCTAGAGCTCGGAAAAGAGCGGAAACATACTTTCCAAACAGCCCATGTTTATTATACACAGCATGACAAAACCTGAACAAATGTTTACAATACAATGAGAGAGATTGCAGTGATAGAAAATCACAACAAAGTTTTATAATGCATAGTTAACAGTTTAATAAAACAATTAAATATATTCAGTGCTCTTTAATGATGAAAAAATTGTAGCCAATTAATAATAAACTATTTATTTGCGTAATCATCTTAAGTTTTCTCTCGTTTGTGAAAATGTCCCGATCAAAACTCAAGTAGTCCCTACGTATTCTGCAACGAGTGTAATTTGATTTAAATGGTTGTTAGTTACCATGACTATGTATTCGTACGACAGTACTATAACCTAACTATATTTATAAAAATATACAACATTACTGTTATTTGAAAATCAAGATGATACAGATGTATTTCATTTAAGCATAAAATAAAGTAAAACTTTGTTTTCAATGTGTAATTACAAATCTAAAAATATTTGACGGCAAAACTCTTGGATTACTGTACAGTTTTTAGTACATTCCAGGAAAAATCCCAAGTTAAGCGCATTTAATGTTCTCAAATAAATGTTCAAACTCTGACTATATCTCTTTGCCTTCATTACTGTTCTATAACCAAGGTGATGTAGGCTTTTTAAGTGTAATTGAGCGGGCTAACTAAGTCTCTATATGTATGGTAATACAGGCCCGGGATGCGCCTAGGGCAGTGCGCCCGCTGGGCACCACCCTAGCAGCTTTTTGATATCAGATAGGTCTTTGTCGATATCAAATAGACGTCTGCTGCGTGCGTGATATTGCATGTGCAGTTGCATAGCTTAAAGTGGGGTTTTGCAGCAATACACATCGAAAATAAAATACAAATATTTTCCATCATTAACTTAACACGTAGTGTACAGATTCCCTTCAAACACATGGTAAAGACGCAGAATAGTATGTATTATGGAGAAAATTGGAATTTTAATATAAAGTATTGTAGAAAACATTAGTTATAGTATCAAAGTTTCAAAGTAGAGCAGGCCTATAAAGAGAATCTCATTCTACACCCAGTAGCAACGGTCCTCCCACAGAGCCAATACTAAAAAGCACCACGTAAATTTACAACATTCCGGAACTTCGTACGAATAGAAGAAGAGAAGTTTGTATAGTTAAACTCGTTTAAATCTATGGTTTAGCTCAATCAAACTTACAGAAGGGTGAATTAATTGACGAAAGTCTAAAATCAAACTCAACAAATTTATATTTTGTGATCTTGTTTACGTTGCTATTTTGGGGACCAATTGCTTACCTCCAAAGGTTTCACCTCGAAGCTTTGGTAGTCTTTAAGTTTGTCCGAAAAAAAATATACATAATAAACAACATACACACAATTAAGACGGGTGAATTTTAGATTAGATAAAAGTTATAAAATACCACTAGGGATATTTTAAAAGTCATGAGGTGTTTAAAGGACTTTTCTATTCCTTATAGCCTACATTCAACAAAAATTCAACTAAACAGTTAGCATTTTCAAATTTAATTGATTATAAATTTTGTAAATTTTTTAAGTTTAGCAGGAATTTCCTGAATAAGCTACGTATATCAAAACAGTTTTAGATTTCACAGTCTGTAAACCTATCTATAGGCCAATCTTCAGACTATAGACTATTTTTAAATTTAAATCTCAATAAATACAGTCCATTCTTTGTACATCTAGCCTGACTAGGGAAAACATCTGGAAACTCTTGATTTTCTTGAATCGAGTATTCCAAACATCATAGACTGCACAGCCAGACTAAAGACTATAGTCTATAGACCATCACCACCCTACAAGTATGGCCGTAGGGGCCTCTTGCTCCAACAATCAAATTTGATTTGCTCGGCCGCGGGGCCCGGCCCACTGTGCCAATTATGTGGCGGGGCCCGGGGCCCTTCGGACGCGGGTGGGAAAATTGCCCCATCGTCTAAAGTGCTCTCCATTTTTTTCTTTGTAATAAAAGATGAAGTACAGACGTCAAAAATAGCCTTTTAAAACTAGACTCGATGCTTAAAGGGCATTTTGTAGCTATTATTGAGTATTTTGATAAATTAAAGAATGATTTTGAATTTATTTCGTTTTACTTACATTATGAGTATTTAGTCAGGCATAAACTCCTCCTGTAAAACAAACAATAAAATTAATATAACCAAAAACACCAGTGTTATTTATAATACGTAAGATAACAACTTATATAATAAAGAATAGTTTACTTTAATCTATTTGTCATGTCAAAATGAGTAGCTGCACCCATTTAAGTTGTAAATTTGAGTATCTTTTAAAATTATTTGCTCTTTATTTTGTTAAAAAATGTTAAAATATATGTTTAGATTATAGAGTGGTACACAAATAAATACAATTTTGAATAAGATACGAGTTCTCAAACGATATTTACGTGCATACGATTATCAAAACCTATATAAAGTCAAAGACAAGTATTGCAATTGCTTTGTGTTGTCATGATAAAATACATTTAGAAAAATCATAGCGTTTGAAAATTAATTTTGTAACTCAACACGCTTAACTGTATTTTTGTGACATTCCTTTGAATCAAGTTGTATCAAAATCATTAATTTTTTACATTTTAATATCTAAAGAATGTTTTATATGTTATATTATGTTGTTACAAATTATTATTGATTTTCGCAGGTATTTGTATACAGAGACCTTGGCATAGAGAGCTAAAAGAACTCCGGATAGAACGAGAGGGTGAGATGGAATCAATACAGGAGGGAGGAAGAGGGAGAGATACGCGCTCTGCATGTTAACTGGTGTCTGGCGACCATGGTGTTGTGATTGGAACACGTGACAGTGTCGTCAACAATTAAACAGCTGAGAGATTGGCTCTGATACAGCGGAGTTGTTGACACTTTGTGGATGTTAACTGGTGTCTGGCGACCATGGTGTTGTGATTGGTACACGTGACAGTGTCGTCAACAATTAAACAGCTGAGAGATTGGCTCTGATACAGCGGAGTTGTTGACACTTTGTGGATGTTAACTGGTGTCTGGCGACCATGGTGTTGTGATTGGTACACGTGACAGTGTCGTCAACAATTAAACAGCTGAGAGATTGGCTCTGATACAGCGGAGTTGTTGACACTTTGTGGATGTTAACTGGTGTCTGCCGACCATGGTGTTGTGATTGGTACACGTGACAGTGTCGTCAACAATTAAACAGCTGAGAGATTGGCTCTGATACAGCGGAGTTGTTGACACTTTGTGGATGTTAACTGGTGTCTGCCGACCAGGGTGTTGTGATTGGAACACGTGATAGTGTCGTCAACAATTAAACAGCTGGGAGATTGGCTCTGATATAGCGGAGTTGTTGACACTTTGTGGATGTTAACTGGTGTCAGCCGCATGGTGTTGTGATTGAAACACGTGACAGTGTCGTCAACAATTAAACAGCTGGGAGATTGGCTCTGATACAGCGGAGTTGTTGACACTTTGTGGACGTTAACTGGTGTCTGACGACCATGGTGTTGTGATTGGAACACGTGACAGTGTCGTCAACAATTAAACAGCTGAGAGATTGGCTCTGATATAGCGGAGTTGTTGACACTTTGTGGACGTTAACTGGTGTCAGCCGACCATGGTGTTGTGATTGGAACACGTGACAGTGTCGTCAACAATTAAACAGCTGAGAGATTGGCTCTGATATAGCGGAGTTCTTGACACTTTGTGGATGTTAACTGGTGTCTGCCGACCATGGTGTTGTGATTGGAACACGTGACAGTGTCGTCAACAATTAAACAGCTGAGAGATTGGCTCTGATATAGCGGAGTTGTTGACACTTTGTGGACGTTAACTGGTGTCTGCCGACCATGGTGTTGTGATTGAAACACGTGATAGTGTCGTCAACAATTAAACAGCTGAGAGATTGGCTCTGATATAGCGGAGTTGTTGACACTTTGTGGATGTTAACTGGTGTCTGCCGACTATGGTGTTGTGATTGGAACACGTGACAGTGTCGTCAACAATTAAACAGCTGAGAGATTGGCTCTGATACAGTGGAGTTGTTGACACTTTGTGGATGTTAACTGGTGTCTGCCGACCATGGTGTTTCCTTTCCTTTCTAATATTCAATTCATAAAGGTGTTTGTCTTTTTAATTTCTAGTAGATGTAGGTAATAGCATCGAACAAATGTTAAATACTTTGTATATTGCCTAACAATGGTTTACAAGAACTCTTCCCCCGATCACAGATCAACAGTCTATCCGGGGGAATAATTCCATGTAATATATTGTTCTATTACTGTACCATTTAATTTTTGGAATAAAAGTATTTTGATTTGATTTGATTTGATGGTGTTGTGATTGGAACACGTGACAGTGTCGTCAACAATTAAACAGCTGAGAGATTGGCTCTGATATAGCGGAGTTGTTGACACTTTGTGGATGTTAACTGGTGTCTGCCGACCATGGTGTTGTGATTGGAACACGTGACAGTGTCGTCAACAATTAAACAGCTGAGGGATTGGCTCTGATACAGCGGAGTTGTTGACACTTTGTAGATGTTAACTGGTGTCTGCCGACCATGGTGTTGTGATTGGTACACGTGACAGTGTCGTCAACAATTAAACAGCTGAGGGATTGGCTCTGATACAGCGGAGTTGTTGACACTTTGTGGATGTTAACTGGTGTCTGCCGACCATGGTGTTGTGATTGGTTCACGTGACAGTGTCGTCAACAATTAAACAGCTGGGAGATTGGCTCTGATACAGCGGAGTTGTTGACACTTTGTGGATGTTAACTGGTGTCTGCCGACCATGGTGTTGTGATTGGTACACGAGACAGTGTCGTCAACAATTAAACAGCTGAGAGATTGGCTCTGATATGGCGGAGGTGTTGACACTTTGTGGATGTTAACTGGTGTCAAAACAATGCAGTGTTGATAACCAACAGTCACATAATTATTTTAATATTGATTGGACGGATGATAAAACCACAAAACGTTGCATTTTGAGAATGAATGTTAGGGTATTTTAAAGAATAATTTGTAAAAAATATCATTGAAATAAAGTCTTTGGGAGCACTTTTAGCTACTATACCAAATTAGCACTTACATCTACTGTGTTCAATTTGTTTATGCCTCAACTTAATTACACAATAACCAACTAGCACTCACCAACTAACTTGTTTAGTTAGTGGCGTACCCCCCAATCTGAGCTGTCGAGTCGATTTGCGTGCGAGGGGCCTTGAATCGGAAACAAGTGACCCTTAAACTCCCCCCCCTGGGGTCATTCCGCTCCTATCCGCAGGGTAAACCCACTCAAAAAATTTCGCTTCGTTAACAATTTTGAGACCGTTTGACAGCTGTCAGAGCCATGTTGGGGTGTAGGGGCCGACATCACCCCGACATTCCTTGTGTCGCTTAAGCGGTTTAAAAAGTGAAAAAGAAATATCGGTCGAAACCAACACCGTTCAAAACACTAAAATATGACGTGTCAAAATAAGTGAGAAGTTTTTGAAAGGCGGGGTCGTTTTCCATGCTGTATGCATCTCAGGGGACCGAGGTTGGTTAAAAGCAGTGAAACTCAATGTTTCAATGTTCAACTGTTGGATTTTGATAAGTATACAAGGGAATGTTTATGTTCAGTGATCAACGTTTGTTTACCATTAAACACCTAAACCGTTTAGTATTGTTGATGTAACTTGTCTTCTAGCTTTTGGATTAAATAGCACTACAATTATCATTCGATTCTGTTGTTTGCTAATTCAAACTCTAAACCTAGTAAGATTAGGGTTTTTAGGCTATGCTATGTGTTTTGATGGAGGTCAGTGGTCTAAATTAAATCAACATATCAGCAATTTATGGCGGACATGTTTCGTTGCAATGCAACATAATCAAAGCTTGCATCACGTTAAAACATCAAAATGTAACATTAAAAAGTAATTTAAATCTCTTTACGTTATGTCTTAAGTTTAAATGTATTTTGTGTAATTCACTTTATATTGTTAATTTTTGGTGTTTTTACTTGTTGCAAGCTCTAATTATGTTGCGCGACGAAACGTAGCAGCTATAAATTATTGAAATGTTTAATTAATTTGGACTACTGACAATCCATAACGCAAAAGTAAAATAAAAGCTTATTTAATTAGCAAGCGTTATACATGACATTACAGTATTCAAACTTTTACAGTTACTGCAATCACTTTTATAATGGTAAGCGATCTAATAATCGTAGTGAAGTAGTTTCAGGCCATAAACAGAACGAGAAGTTTTTTAATCCAATACTGTATTCATCTTGATATTTCATATGGGTTTATGTGGAAGTAGAACCTTATAAGCATTAAAAAAATAACTAAAATTGTTTTTGCAAATATTTTAATGCAGAAAACAAACACTTCGTACCGTTCTTCGTTTTTGACACAATTGTAAATATTCCACAAATGTATGAAAACGTACAAATAAAATAATTAAACAACTTCAATGTACATCAGCGTACCCGGAACTACAACCCCAACTGCAATAAACAATCAAGATGACTTACAATGTTTGGCAACTTTAATTACAAAGAGCCCGAGGCAGACACAAAGAGATTTACACAAGGCGATCCCATTCGGGTGGCGATAAAATGATATTTTCAATTAAGTCTCTTCACATATTACCTGTATAATTGCCCATTCTGATCGGCAGTCGGCTCACGCACGGCTACTGGAATACGTAATTGAGCAGTATAAATTACCGAGTGCAACAAATCTCGAAATTAATTTCCCAAAACAAAACCGCATCCTTGATCGATTCGCCGCTCGCGGGAGTTCGTAGCGAGGAGAATCGGCGATTATGGTGGCCTTGAAATTCCGAATTAACGGAGCAACGCCTCGGGTCGCCCACGGTTCAACTTCATAGTTTAGTGATGTACCTCAAGTGATGAATTTGTGTGGAAAACTCGTGAAAAATTAATTTTTCCTACAGTCACCCGACAAAGTTTGCTTCCTTGTACTGTTTATAGTACATAAAGCTGCGAATTGCTGCATATTTATACTTTGTCGTATGGTTTATACTTTGTCGTACGTTTTATACTTTGGCGCACATCAGGATCCCAACGACTCAACACAAAACAGCGTGGTTCAATTATGCACGTAATCCGTGTACGTTTGGAAATAGGTTGGCA